AAACCAAAACCCCTTTGCAAACACAAATACTTCAACAACAATATTTATAGATAAATGAACTATTTTCTAATTCCAACTGTGACAAAAGAAGAATGATTTGTCCTTCACAAGATGGCGGTGGGAAATAATGATTTTTCCCTTGATGGGGTCAAACTAAATGGATGACAAAGAACCAAGGAGTCCTTTGAATTTGCATTTCACAAAATGGCGACTGCCATATGTTTGTTTGACATGAGGTCAAAACAAGATGGCAACTGAATATTGCAACCTCTGACCCCAAGAACAAAGAGCTTTGTGAGAACACAGTGGACTCTCCCAGATGAGGTGAAATCATGAGGTGCTGATCTTAATCAAAGAAACCAGATACCAGGCTAAACTTTAGCGTAGTATAACAGCAAAACACACTCAAATGCTGAACAAGTTAACAATAATAATACAAATAGTTAGAGACCATCAAAACTATTAGTCTATGGTCGTCCGAGGAACTCTCACGCTATTATGCGACACAATGGGAAGCCACACTATTAGTAGAATATCGTCTATCTAACGTACGAATGCCGCATTTCTTTCCGTAATGCACACACAATGATTAAACAGTATACTTCAGACTTCCACAGACTCTTATCACCAATTAAACAAGAGACCATCTCATTTATTTGGGAGTAAACCAACGGATGCCATCCGAATCACAACCTTCCAGAATTAAGTAAGAAACCATCTTTCTAATCAGGAACCTAGAACAACGGACTCCATCCGATTTGTTCAAACAACACAATATTACAAGAATTAAACAGATACCATCTATTTTATTCAGGAACTAAGAAAACTGGACTCCATCCGTTTTTTCAACCAACACACTAAATATATCTAAATACAAATGACAAAAGGAACTAAGAAAACTGGACTCCATCTGTTTGTTCAACCAACACACTATTACAAGAATTAAGCAGATACCATCTATCTTATTCAGGAACTAAGAAAACTGGACTCCATCCGTTTTTTCAACCAACACACTAAATATATCTAAATACAAACAATAAGTACCGGCTAAAAATACATTAATATATATCCGGCTCAAGAGACATACATTAATATCAGGCATGCAGAACAAAGAAAGAATAAGAAAGAAAAGGAACAATCACTCACCCCTACTTGTCTCAGAGCAACGCCACGTTTTATATGAAGTCTATTTTGTAAATGTAGGTTGTTTAACATTAAATGCACAATTATTTTCAGGATCCGCTGCCTTCCACCAGACACACAAATCTAACGGTACGTCCACACAGCAGCTTTTCAAAAATCTTGAAAATCTTGGAGCTGGGCGTGTCTGAAAGCTTGGGGATTTCGCGACCAACAACCAATCACATGAATCTCCCGCCCCCGACATACAAAGCAAAAAACCCCGGTTCTTCTCCACTATTTCTTTAAACATTTATGAGATTAATGTCTATGGTGCTATTTTATGCTACATTCCATGCTGGCTAATGATCCTGTCTATGCTTGCTAGCAACGAAGTAAACTAGCAACGAAGTAAACTGGATATAAAATCCCCAAACAAGCGAAAACCTACCAGTTTCACCCACTGTCTCTGCCACCTCCCTCCATGCCTGGTTCCTCCGGTTTGTATCCCAGTAAGTAAATAGGGACTGGTCATAAAGAACCGGGTGATTTGCTACCGCAATAACTAACTTCTCCTCCATTTTTGTTAGGAATATAGAATGAACTGCGGTCTGGCTCTCCCAGCTTGCACGCGGTTTGATTGGCTAGCGCTTGAACTGTCAGATTTGCATAAACGGATCTGATTGGCTGTCGCTTCCAGCTCAGCCTCAAAAGTTGAACATTGTTCAACTTTGGAATCCTGAACATCCTGGAAATCCTGGAAATCTACGTCTCGCCCCCCCACAATGCAGTTCGGCGACAAGCGAGGGAAAGTGACGTCATCCCCATTCAAAGTCAATGGGCGGAGACGCGCTGGAAGCGGTGGACAAATCATCAAAAGCTGCTGTGTGGACGGGCCGTGATGGTTTTCCTACATAAACTATTGAAGATTCGATCTAACAGGTTCTTCCTTACCACGTGTATTTGAGCTCTTTGTTGTCTGATGGGGGGCCGCGTCTCTGTTGAATAGCTGGCGTGTTTGTCTCCTGGTGCAGCAAAATCCCGTTAGGGTCACCAACTATTAGAAGTATTATTTTTCTCGCGTCCCAGGAGAGAAGCTTAAAATAAAGAGACTAATGGAGTCTCTGAAGGTTCAAATGGGTTACTTTAATTAAGTCGCGTGGCAATGAAACAAGCATAACGAGTACAAGAGCACAGCTGTGGTGGGGAGGAGGCGGGGTGAAGAAGTGCCTGAGATCGCGTTGTCCTCCCTCTGTATCGATCCTGCGCTCCTCCCTCAATGGCGGCTGGTGACGTCGTTCTCCCCCCTCTTTCTCCAATGTCCGATATCGCGTAAAACAGAGGATTTAGACGTAGTGTCTTCATTGTATAATATATATTATTATTATTATATATTCATTGTCACGCGGCAGCGGGGCAGATCTTCTCCGCCCAGCCTGCTGCCTGTGGGAGCAGATGGGCTGCCAGGCTCTCATCAAGGGGGGGCACGCCGGGACACGCTGTGTCCATGCAGCCCTGCACCCTGTGGCGGTAGCCCTTCACGCTCCACCGCCATGGTCATCACCAGGGGGAAGTCCTGGTGGACAGACCTGGGCGGTGGACTTCCATGGACGCCGGACCCGGAAGTGCTCTACGACGAGAAGTCCTCTTCATCCTCCTCCCTGGCAAACGGAGCCATCCGCCCCGCTGTAATGGCGAACGTGAATGGCACTGCCTCTGCCATATCCTGGTCCCCCAAACACTCGAAGCAGAGGTGGTGGGGACCGGCGCCCGCTATTAACCTGTTTAGCCCTGAGCCTGTTGTTCAGGTCTCAGGCTCGAAAATGATATTCCCAGAACAAATGACCATATCTTCCCTTCTAAAAGGGTTAAATTAATAATCTTTTTTCTCAAAGTAATGATAAACCTGTGAGTTGGATGTAGAAAAGTCAGAATCAATATAGTTGTTTTTTATTTTAAAGAAAATTCAGATTGAACATAGTAAAAAACTGTAAATGATAGTGTCCGTCCAAAAATTATTTTGTACTTATAGTGAAAACTAACCTTGGATGATGGTAAGGTAGACTAAAAGCTTTAGGAATCCAAAGTACAACATATAATAAGTACCCTGTATAAAGATTGATGCAAAACAAGTGACATTTGACCTTTTTAGAGAGGTTTAGCAAAAAAAACTCCACCTCTGTCTGAGGTGATTTGGGTGGAAATGGGGGTTTTACCGTTTCTCTGGAACCCATTGGTCGATTTTGGTGATTGGCATCTCTTTCTGACCGTTAGAGCCAATAGAATCGAAGGGAAATGTCCCCGCTCACACACACGCTAAAACAAAAAGATGGGGGCTTTGCGCACCCAGTTTTGCATCAGAGTGAAAATATTTCTAGCTCTGACATCTAGAAACGGAAAAGCAGGTGTATTGCTTATGGATTATCAAAAATCATTTCAAAGGGATACAGACACATTGGATTAACCCAGTGGTTCTCAAACTTTTTCTGTCAGGCCCCCCCAGTAGTTGTACTCATACCAATCTCGTCTCATTAGTATGCATAGAAAGTGACAGGTCACACCTCTAAGTCCCGCCCCCTTTCCGCGGAAGTCCCGTCAACATAGCCCCGCCCCTTCCGGTGGATGTCCCGCCCCCACTTCCGGTTTTCAAAATACAATTTTAATAACATAAAAATGCTGCCCCTACCGGTCGCCCCCGCTTCCGGTTTTCAAAATAAAATAACATGAATTTTAGAAACCATGAGAAAATAAAATGCTGCCCCCTACCGGTTTTACAAAATAATAATTTTAAAATGAATCACATAGTATGCATAGGATCAATGTCCCGCCACCTAACCACTTCCTGTGCCCCTAATCCTGTATACAGTATTGACTGTAACTTACAAATACTTGCAAATAACATGAAATATAGCAACCATATATTTTAAAAAAGTAATGTCAATCTCTCTAACCCTCTCTCTGCTCTAAAGAGCAATGTCCCGCCACCTAACCACTTCCTGTGCCTCTAATCCTGTATACAGTATTGACTGTAACTTACAAATACTTGCAAATAACATGAAATATAGCAACCATATATTTAAAAAAGTAATGTCAATCTCTCTAACACTCTCTCTGCTGTAGAGTGTTCCGTGAAAAGTTTTGTGAACAGTCTGGACAAGCCAGGACACGTGTGAGAGAAATCATAAAACCCCCTACATCCTCTACAGGCAAATGGCGGGCGAGGGGAGGGGGGAACACACACACACACACACACACACACACACACACACACACACACACACACACACACACACACACACACACACACACACACACACACACACACACACACACACACACACACACACACACTTCCCCCGCCCCTCACCCCTCTCCCGTTCAGGATGTTTCTTTTCAAGTTTTTTGTGAAACTGTTTAAGAAGTATCTGTTTTGCAAAAGAGGTTATTTTCAAAATATCTTATTTAGGTTTTAATAGTGATACCTAAGGGTATTCTCTTTTAGTATATGGATTTGTGAAGTAATGTGTAATTACTTTTATTAACTATAATTGCACAGGATCATTCTAAGAAGAGTGAGAGGGCTAATGAGCCAGCACCATACCTCCTCTATGCATTTTCTTGACCTGTATCTGATCTTGAAAAACTTGACTCTTTTAAAAAAAGTTATTTTTCATCTATCATTTTCAACCATGCAGCAAGAGGTCAAATTTAAGAATAAGTAATAGTTTGTCACGATTTTACGGGGAAATAGTCAGTGCGCAATGTCACATCTTAAAGACAGCTTGAACTGGATAAATGGTTAGTCTTTTTTTCAAAACATACCGTACGTTCTGCATGTTAGTATATCTAGTCAATCGATTTAGACCCTACTGCCCTCAATAGGGAAGTCACGCTTTGGGAAGAGGTGTTTCATTTCACAGATCCACCTTGATTTGTTGCTGTGAGGGGTGAAGGAAGAGGGACCGGGGAGGAAAAGGCAGAAAACATAACTTGTTTTGTAAAACGGACAGCACGTCAGTTTCAAGAAAGACGTTTGCATACATAAAAAGTGTATCTTACAGTTCCTTTTGTGAGCGAATTACACACAAATCTGCAGAGTGTCACTAAAAAGTTGTACACAGGGACTGACATTCTGTATGCCGGTTTCACACGGACACAAAGTCTACTTCATTATCTACTTTTTCAGCTTTTATACACAAAAGTGTATCCTTCAGTAACTTTCTCAGAGAATTTAAGCACGTCAGTTTCAAGAAAGACGACAATAATTAGTAGTTAGACATTTTGGATATCGTTCGTTCTGGCAGTACTATTCCGGTCATTGGGAAACTTTTTGTGACCCATTTAAAACCATTTAAAAGAGAAATTTTCTCTGTCGTTCTTAATGCAAAAACAAATCATCGCTACTCCCTTTGGGTGAAGTCCAGGAATGTTCTCGGGGGGGGAGTGGACACTTGCTGTTACATGGCATAAAGCTTCTGCAGTGTGCCAATAAATGTATAGTTTCCCTAAAGCTCCATACATTTACACATATTGACTAATGACTCAGCACATGAGGGGTAAATACAAAACAAATCTAAATATCACCAATTATTCCAGAATGTGACTAGAATAGAGTCTAGAGAATGGACCCAGGCTTTGTCTTCAGCCACCAACTAAATAGGGGCGTGCTTTATTGAATCACCAGTATGTTACTCACCATTGAAGACAGTGTTGAGGGGGGCAAGCAAAGTGTACTCAGCGGCAGATTGCATGGAAGCAGAAAGGCCTAGCTCAGACACCGTGTCTCCAAAGGTTGACTGGGAACTTCCAACCAGTTCCATCACCTGTTTAGCTTGAGGCACAAAGGGAATTTAAACACCATTAAAAATATGGATTACAGAAAAACAATATATGTATTAATGTAGTAAATCGGGTAATCATTAATAAGGGGAAAATGTGCACGTCTAACCTGAGTCTGGCATGAGCACTTGATCAATAAGGTGGATGACAATGTCCTTCTTGAGCACCATCTTGATGCCATTGACTGTTAAACTCTCGCCATCACAGCCTTGAAATCAAAGTAACGCTTCTAAAAACATATATTTAGAAAAGTAATGTTAGTCATGTCAAGTTATCAAGACTGCTGTGTTTCATCGAAACAGTGTTAAAATCACAAACTTGCCTTTTAGAGAGACATAAAGAAAACGAATTCCTTACAAATTAATGAATATTTTACGCGGTTAAAAAGGTTTGCATCCATTAAAGTGTAACTAAAAGTATCTTAGTAACACAAGAAAAGAGAATAAAGCATTGATGTCAACAAAACAGGATTGCTCCATTGTAGTAATACATGTTTAAGGTTTTGCATACATAAAAAGTATATCTTACAGTTCCTTTGTGAGAGAATTACACACAAATCTGCAGAGTGTCACTAAAAAGTTTTACACAGGGACTGACATTCTGTAGGGGGGTTTCACACGGACACAAAGTACTTTATTATCTACTTTTCAGCTTTTATACACAAAAGTGTATCCTTCAGTAACTTTCTCAGAGAATTTAAGCATAAATCTGCCAAATGTTTCAAAAAACAGCCTTGTTTCACTGAAAATGACTCCCCCCATTCAACGCAATAAACCCCACCCTCCACTCAGCAAATAATCTAAAACGAAGGACCCCACTAAGACGACTGTTGTAAACTAGACATGGAGCTGAGAAAAACCAAGAATCCCCCCGCGAGTTGCAGCCAGGAACAGACTCCGGGACTGCCACCATCATCACTACCATTTTGGACACCCGAATCTTGCAATACTACTGCTGCTGATTTTGCTCCTTGGGCCAAAACGTCTCTGTTTATGGACACAGTGAAATCGGTGTCGGTTGATATTGTGGAGAGGGTGATACATCGGTACAGAGAAGAAATATGCAATGGGTGCCGAGTCAGTCACCCCGGCCAGAGGCAACACGATTTCCTGAATGACATGTCCGATTTTTACTTCAGAAACTATATACACACATTTTCTGAAGGGTAAACAAGAAGCATCAGGCTACCCTTCAGAGGCAGCAACTGTATGGTCAGCTTTTAAACATAAAAGTGTATCTTTCAGTATATTTTTGAGAGAATTAAGCGTAAATCTGTCAAATGTTCAAAACTGCCTTGTTTCACTGAAATAGCCTCAACATCACAAACTGCCATTAAGAGTCAGATGCTTTTACGGAATCTAATAAAACAGAGTATTTTCTACAGATGACTCCTCCCACTCAACGCAATAAGTCCCACCCCACTCAGCAAATCATATAAAACTAAGGACCCCCACTAAGACGACCGTTGAAAAGTAGCCATGAATCTGAGAAAAACCAAGTCTGATGTAGCTCCCCTTATTATCACCAGGATAACGGATATGGGCTTAATGACTGGATGTTACAAAGTAGGGGAGAGGATGTTCCCGATGAAGAGCCCTCCTCTATATCATATCCATGTAAGGTCTTTAGGACAAAAGAGGACCACGATAACATGACATATGAAGAATATCTTTCTTTAAAAGATGGTATTATAGATAACCTTTATAGAAACAGTATATCTCATACCACTAGCCAAGATCGCAAACGACAATTAGCAGAAAAGAAAAGAAAAAGTAAAGAAAAACGAAGAAAAATGAAAAGGAGAAGAAAAATGAAAAGCAAACGCAGAATGCGAATGAAAAGAAAAGGACGGAAAACCAAAAAGACAAAACGAAGGAAGGTGAAAAGAAAAAGGAACAAAGTGAAGAAATGTAATGGTGTTGTTGAGTCATTACCGGATCATAATAATCTTATAGATCATCTACCGCTAACCGACTGCTGCGAATGTGTTGAACAAATACCAAAAGCAATGGCAGAGCTTTGCTTCAATATAATGAGAGAAAAAGCACGATACTGTGGAATTGCCCAAATTGGCGACAGTGCCAGAACATGCATTAAAAGACTGTTGAAGGATCTCTATTCTAGTATCGGTTGTCATTACATCGAAGGATATGCCAAAACGTGTGACGACATAGACAAAGCTTTTGAAGACAATTATATGGTACCTGTCCTTACAGCTAAACAAATCCTACGCCAGGTATTCAACAGACCACAAGAAGCACAAGAAGCCCCAGAAAGGATTACATTCAGAGCTAATAACGGTGAAACCGAAGAAGAAGCAAAGCAGATTATAATCGTTGCGGGTGAAAGGATAGAGAATTTGCATGTGATGTTAATGCATTTATCTGATATAAAAAATGCAGGCTTCACCTATAGGTTGAGGCTGCTGTGCATTCATGGACAATTCAGCCATGGCAGCTGGATTGTCCATGAATGCACAGCAGCCTCAACCTATAGGTGAAGCCTGCAGCAAGGATGATAGAAAACCCACAGGAGTCACTCTGTCCATGCTCCCTGGGGCATCTGATAATTTGTCCAACGTGTCATTACAACGAAACTCTTTTGACCTGTCCATATAGATGCGTAAAGCACGAACTGGACACAGCAAATTCGGCCGCTGTTCCTCAGAGGAACACAGCGGCGGAGGAAATGCCACAATGTCAATTGGGGTACATGAGCCAACCACCTTAGGTATAAAGGCAGGGTAGGGCTTCAGCAACACTCTCGTTCCCCCCAGGGCAAACTGAGTGCAGCTTAAGTTTATCGCACAGGCAATAAGGCTGTAAAACTCCTGAGCTCTGTAAAGTGTTTTCACTTATCTTTTTATGTCTTGAGTATATTGTATGTTGCATTATTGGAGAAGCTTAGGATGTTCATTGCCTAAACAACGCTGTTGTGCATACAGTATGTCAATACAACTTGGTATGTTGAATTGAAACTTGTGTATATGTTGTCCAACAGTATAATCAACCAGTGCTGCTATAAGCTGCCATCACGTCTCCCCCTGCCACGGAGCGTCAGGGCATTGGAGATGATGGACAACCTGAATGCCTCTAAATCCATCTGCCCAAAATGCTATGCGAGATGAGGCTCAAGCCACACCTGCAGGAAAAAAGTGCATAATAAATAAATCACTAAAAGTCAATATCACTCTGTTATTGCCACTTCTGTTAACAAGGTTACCATTGAATGTCTTAACTTTTAAAAAATGGTTTAAAGGAGTATGTATGAGGAATTATCAGAATACCTTTATTCGTCCCACAGAGAGGAAATGCATATTTGTTACAGCAAGTGAAGAGTCAAATATAGTGGAGGAAATAAGTATTTGATCCCTTGTAGATTTTGTAAGTGTACCCACTTACAAATAAATTACTGGTTTATTTTAACAATGAGAGTAAGAATATCAAAAAAAGAAAATCCAGAAATTGACATTATATAAAAGATAAAAATTGATTTTCATTAAACTGTGGGAAATAAGTATTTGATCCCCTTGCAAAGCATGTCTTAGTACTTGGTGGAGAAACCCTTGTTGGTCAGCACAGAGGTCAGATGCTTCTTGTATTTGGTCACCAGGTTTGTGCACATCTCAGGTCCATATGGTCAAGAAAATGACTCCATTTGTGGTGGAGCAAAAATCAATATGGTGCCTCAGTAAAACCAACTCTTTTTAGACGCCTAATGGTGGTTAGAAAACCGAAAAAGCCGTAATCTTTGCCCATTCTTTAGTGCACATACTGAGGGTCGGGGTGACGGACTGTAGGCTGTGTGGCAGCCTGTTGAAGATTTATTATAAATGTTTCGTTTACAATACTATTACTATATATGAGAGCAAAAAATAAAACACATTTTCATTTTGTAATGGTTGTTTAATTGAAAACACAACATTCAACACACTTTCATAAAAAAACACATTACATTTTACCAAGTTAATGTCGTAGTGCATACAAGGTAATAGACTTAACGATTTGCACTGCTGCTTCTCTCCGCGTTTCATTGACAGTGATCGGTTTATCGTTCAATTCACATTGCCCAAGTAGATGTTTAGGGGTCTCTTGGAAGTAAACAAATGCATTTTTTATATCAGATAAATGCATTAACATCACATGCAAATTCTCTATCCTTTTACCCGCAACGATTATAATCTGCTTTGCTTCTTCTTCGGTTTCACCGTTATTAGCTCTGAATGTAATCCTTGCTGGGGCTTCTTGTGCTTCTTGTGGTCTGTTGAATACCTGGCGTAGGATTTGTTTAGCTGTAAGGACAGGTACCATATAATTGTCTTCAAAAGCTTTGTCTATGTCGTCACACGTTTTGGCATATCCTTCGATGTAATGACAACCGACACTAGAATAGAGATCCTTCAACAGTCTTTTAATGCATGTTCTGGCACTGTCGCCAATTTGGGCAATTCCACAGTATCGTGCTTTTTCTCTCATTATATTGAAGCAAAGCTCTGCCATTGCTTTTGGTATTTGTTCAACACATTCGCAGCAGTCGGTTAGCGGTAGATGATCTATAAGATTATTATGATCCGGTAATGACTCAACAACACCATTACATTTCTTCACTTTGTTCCTTTTTCTTTTCACCTTCCTTCGTTTTGTCTTTTTGGTTTTCCGTCCTTTTCTTTTCATTCGCATTCTGCGTTTGCTTTTCATTTTTCTTCTCCTTTTCATTTTTCTTCGTTTTTCTTTACTTTTTATTTTCTTTTCTGCTAATTGTCGTTTGCGATCTTGGCTAGTGGTATGAGATATACTGTTTCTATAAAGGTTATCTATAATACCATCTTTTAAAGAAAGATATTCTTCATATGTCATGTTATCGTGGTCCTCTTTTGTCCTAAAGACCTTACATGGATATGATATAGAGGAGGGCTCTTCTTCGGGAACATCCTCTCCCCTACTTTGTAACATCCAGTCATTAAGCCCATATCCGTTATCCTGGTGATAATAAGGGGAGGCTACATCAGACTTGGTTTTTCTCAGATTCATGGCTACTTTTCAATGGTCGTCTTAGTGGGGGTCCTTCGTTTTATATGATTTGCTGAGTGGGGTGGGACTTATTGCGTTGAGTGGGAGGAGTCATCTGTAGAAAATACTCTGTTTTATTAGATTCCGTAAAAGCATC